AGAGAGAGAGAGAGAGAGAGAGAGAGAGAGAGAGAGAGAGAGAGAGTAAAGTGCCTTGGGGTTTGTGTAGAAATGTGTCTAGCATGCCTGAAACCTTGGTTTATTTCCCAGAACTGCAAACACAATAACCTCTTAATAGCTCTGGTTATAGCTTGGGAAGGCAGTGGTTCCGCACACATTCAGCCTAAAACTCTGGTGTTAGAGCCCCAGCACCAGAAATGGGATAGGCATGTCATTACAGCATAGCATTGATAATTTAAGTTCATTAATTGAAGGTTTTATGGAGCTTAGAGATTTGTTAGCAGGTCAGTGTAGCTAGAGTTTTCCTGCCTGGCCCACAGTCAGGACAAATCTTTGTCACCCGCAAGTCCCACAGACGCTCAGACCCAACCAAGTAAACACAGAGACTTATATTGCTTACAAACTGTATGACCGTGGCAGGCTTCTTGCTAACTGTTCTTATATCTTAAATTAACCCATATCCATAAATCTATACTTTGCCACATGACTCGTGGCTTACCGGAATCTTCACATGCAGCTTGTCATGGTGGCATCGAGCAGTGTCTCTGACTTAGCCTTTCACTTCCTAGAATTCTTTTCCTCCTTGTCCTGACTATACTTCCTCCTGCCTGACAACTGGCCAATCAGTTTTTTATTTACTAACCAATCAGAGCAACACATTTGCCATACAGAACATCCCATAGCACTTCCCCTTTTCTTTTTTTTTCTTTTTTTTTCAAAAAGGAAGGTTTTAACCTTAACAAAATAAAATTACATATAATTTGGGAATTTGGGCATAGCTTCTCTTACTACTTCCTGCTAGAGGAGGGCGCTGTATCTTTTGAGGACACAAAGAAAATTTTAGGATTATGGAATAGTCCATGAGGCTGTATTGTCTGAGCCAGTTGCCTTGAATCTGATCTGGACATTAGATTATCTGGGCCATGGTGTCATCAGAGACCTTTCAGGGGGTCTTGGCTGGTCAAACCTTATGTATCTTAATCTGGAACAAATCCATAGCCTCTTGCTTTCTGTGGAAACAAAAGCAGAGTCTCCTTTGAAAGTAACACATCCTTATATCCAAATTTTAATGTCAAGGAATCTTTAAAATAAACATATTGGTTTAACTCAACATCTTTTTCTGTCAAATATTTTTCTGCAGTTAAAAATCCCAAAGACAACATAATCCCGAATCTCTGTGTAATATTCATCTTTACGAGGCTTATTTTTTATATTAATTTTACTGTCTCTTTAAAGACTTATTTTTTAAAACTTTGTATTTGTTTATATAACTGTATATATCACATTTTTTGTCTCTTTCAAGCCTATGTATATTTTACACACATTGTAAACTATTACATCTGAATCTGCCTTATTGTGAATCTATTGCTTTAAACTGCAGCATTTGTAAGACTGAAACGGTGCTTTGGCTGCTGGCTCTGCCCACCTCAGCTTCCCAACATGGTGGTGGTACGTTTACTGCCAGCTCTGGGAGCTATAGTGGGTCTATGCTTTTATCCAAACAGCGTGTAGACCAGAAACCTTTTTTTGTTTTGTTTTGTACTAGCAAAGGGTAAATATACTATGCAGCTTAGATGTGCCACTTGCAGAGGCCTCATTCCCGCCATACTGCAGATCTAGCTCACAGCTAGGAACCCACCAGTAGCTCAAACCGGCAAGCTGCCATTTATTTGAGAGAGACAATAAGAAAGCTGTTTTTAGCTCCATTTTAGAATCTTTTCTCAAGTTTTAGGTGGAAACTCTTGCCAACTCGTTGGGTGCCATTTGTTGCTAGAGTATTCCTGCCTGGCCCACAGTCAGGACAAATCTTTGTCACCCGCAAGTCCCACAGACGCTAAGAACCAACCAAGTAAACACAGAGACTTATATTGCTTACAAACTGGATGGTCGTGGCAGGCTTCTTGCTAACTGTTCTTATATCTTAAATTAACCCATTTCTATAAATTTATACCATGCCCATAGCGCATGGCTTACCGGCATCTTCACATGTGGCTTGTCATGGTGGCGGCTGGCAGTGTCTCTGACTCTGCCTTCCACTCCCCAGAATTTTTACGTCCTTGTCCTGACTATACTTCCTCCTGCCTGACTACTGGCCAATCAGTGTTTTATTTATTAACAAATCAGAGCAACACATTTGCCATACAGAACATCCCACAGCAGGTCAGT